AGACTTTAATTGGATGTTCAGTACACACCACTTGTTGCAATACCCACTTGTAATCTGTCACATCATTTAATATATCAAATGTGTGAACCATTCTCAATATACCTACACAGAAATTGTAGAAGAAACCCTGCCCTAAAATACACATGCATTAGACAGTTATAATGCAATGTTCTGCTTTTGATTAAAGGAAGTAATGGTACAATTAATACCTTGATGACGAGATTATTGGCAAGTGTTCCAATGAGAAGGGGACCAGCAAAAGGCAGTACCCATGTAGCAAATATCAGACATCGGAAGAGCCATCCGGATAATGCAAACCAGAGGAAAAAAATTGTCTACAGACAAGGATAAGGAAACAGATAGAATGTGAGCCATCAATTGGCAAAAGAATCTTTAAGGAAAAAAAAAACAGACTGAGAATCTGATAGGAACAAGAACAAACAAGATATGATGCGGATAAATGTAAATGCATGGACTGCTCAACTCAAGCATCATCAATGCCGAACTAGTCGAGTTACCCAATTATCTACTCAATAAGAACCAACAATATATGATGCAGATAAATGTAAATGCATGGACTGCTCAACTCAAGCACCATCAATGCCAAACTAGTGGAGTTACCCAATTATCTACTCAATAAGAACCAACTAAGAGAATCAAATTCCTCTGGGGGAAAAGCAAATAACCCTTGTATCATTGAGGGTGAGAGGAAGAGTTATACACTCGGACTCCATCTTCCTTATCAAGTTTCTAAGGGCATCATGGAGAAATGAATCAAACAAATAGTACCATCAGGATAAACATTTAATTTTCAAGTTACAGATGATACTCACTGCAAAGCCTCTTCCTAGTGGCGTCTCCCAAAAATCATTGAGCTCCTTTCTGTACTGCAAGTAAAAGGGAAAAAGAACTTGTAAGTATAAATACAAACATCAAGAAGAAAACCCTTTGGTTTCTTGACAAACTAAATAGCAAAGGTGCAGAAGACAACATGAATCAGCACCTTAAAGGAATAGAGAGAGAGAGAGAGAGAGAGAGAGAGAGAGAGAGAGAGAGAGAGAGAGAGAGTCGTGCAATTTTTTCTACATTTGTCCATAGTTCAGTTAAACAGGTACAAAACTTGTGAACATCAGTGAGCTTCTGGCTAACAAGGAGAAGGAGAGAACTAAAACAAATTCTAATGAAGAGGAGAGAGACATCTTTCACAATTATTTCTGGGTTGAGTCCTAAAGTAAATGATTTCCTTGAGTAAGTGAGATCTTTTTTCTCGTAAATGTCCAATGTAAATGGGAAGGCACTCTCTTGGTACCACTCGAACTGAATCCTTCCCCTTCTTAACAATTAAATGGTAACGTCAATTTCTCTCCATTGATATTAGAATATTTAAAAACTAAAGCTGCATTATATCTGCTTCAGGTGCAAATACAGAAACTCGCTCTTCAATTTCGGAATTGTAGCACAAGTAGAGTCAATGGAAACACAAAGCAACAATTTCATTCGAATCCTATTTAACATGAACTCCAACAGGGTGCATGTCATTCATCATTCTTCCAATCATCCAGACCAAGCAAAAACAGAGCATCACTTCTTGCTCCTCTTTTGCATTTGAACAAGCATCACTTCTTGCTCCTCCACGAGAAGCTAACACTGGCCTATTCAATTTCACGATTCCCAGAAATTACAACCGAGCTCAGAAGTTTTACCAAATACAAGGGCGGCGGGATAACATCTCATACTCTTCTGCTGTAAAATGAACCGACTGAGCTTAAACACCTCATCCATACACAAGCAATTCCGCTATACATAAAGCACCTAACGGCAGTGAATATCATTTTCATTTTCATCATTTCGTCATCCAATCAGAACGAGTAGAAAACAACAAAAAGACGCCGAGCTCATAGGCTCGTCTCAAACGCAACTGAGATTAACTACAGCGACAACCACCAGCTTGCCTCGCACACAACCGCGATTAACTGTAGCATAAGTGCTTACCCTCGGCCAGTTCCTGCTGAAATCCAGAGTGAAAGTCCGCCACCGCTGTCCGATCTCGAACTCGCGGTCCATCTCGCGGGCTCTATCGGCGGCCGATTGAGCCACGGCGCTGAGCCGCCGGGCGACGGAGTAGCGGCGGTCGATGCGCTCGGCTGTCTTCCTGGCCTCGAAGAGGAAAAGCTCGAAGCGGTCGTTGGCGCTCCGCCATGCGTCCCTCCAGGCCTCGCCCGAGGCGACTCTCTGGGCGAAGCGGTCCAAGTCGCTGCGCTGGAAGGCGCGGACGACGGGAGGCGCCGCGGGGCGCGTGGGGAGGGTGCGGAGGCGCGTGGAGGGGAGGCGACGGGGACGGGCGGGCAGTGTGGGGTTCCAAGGGAGGTTAGGGGTCGTAACCATCGCCACCACCAAGCACAAGTAAAGAATTCGGAGAAGAGAAAATGAACTATAGCTTGTTTTGAAAAATGAATATACCGAAAATTAATATTATTTATTTATTTATTTATTTTGGAAGATTACGCACTGAAAATGAAGATTACGCACGGTTCTGCGGCTGTTACCGCGCTCCTTTTTCATTATTTTTTTCTTTTTCTCTTTTCCCGGTAAGCCAAAATGTACGGTGCATTTCTGGCGGGGGGGTCATCTATTCGGGTCGCTTAAATATAAAAAAAAAAAAAAAGTATTCGGGTCGGCTTGACTTAAGATGGCGAATCAAACTTCGGGATGGCAATCGAATGGAAGGGGAGCGGGGCTTGACCCCCGCATTCCCATCCCGAGATTATTAGAAATGCACATCCCGTTCCATATTCCATGCAAGGTAAGTTTTTTTTTTTTTTAGTAACCGAGGATCCGCCACCATTCCTCGAGCAAGCAGCGCACAGTAATCGGAAAGACCTATACCTCTGAAAGACTAATTTAAAGAATCCATCCGCTGCCCCCACTTAAATTACTTTAACCGAGCGGAGATTCGAACCCAGAACTTTTCTGAGGGAAGGAAAGCGCCCACCAACTCGGCCATGCGCAGGTGGGTCCATGCAAGGTAAGTTTTTTTTTTTTTTAATGTTTAGTATTCCCATTTTTATTAAGGGGCGCGTAAAAATTATTGTAAAAAACAGTAATTCGTAACTTGTTAGTAACGCGAGTGAAACTTCAAAAAAAAAATCATTCCGACCGAACTATAACTCTAAATCGACTTCCTCAAATCTCACGGCTCCACGAACCCTAAACTTTTATCAACACATTATTTCACAGCTTACAGTTGAATTCAAGAAGGGGTATGAATGCTTGCCAAGGGTTACGAAATGGAGTTAATCCGATTTGGAGTGCGCATACAAGAAGCCCCTAACTTGGTTCCCTCGTGCTTGTAACTTATTTTGGATGAGAAACGCAGAGTAGGCTCCAAGAAAAAGTTATAAAAAAAAAAAGAGGAAAAAAGACGAAGTTATTATTGAAAACCTTCATAATGAAAATAGAAAAAGAACTGAAAACATCAAAGAAAATGATCTAGGCAACACCCAAACAATTCCTGTGAGAAAATTAGGGCTAGGATTTTCTAAAATGGGGAATTGCTGAGTGGGCCAAAGTTGACCAAATCCATCCCAAATGTGGTCCAATGGGCCATGAAGTTAGGCCCTATCCCCGGCCCAAAACTCAAGGGTTAGTTCGTTTTCTCGGCTTCGTTTGGGCTTGGGACAAAGCTAAAATATCCATCGGAGCGGGTGAAAATTGCCGATTCGAACCAATTCAATCGGGTTCCCGTTTCTACCCGGAAACTGACAAAGCTTCTTCGTTGTAAAAGTTTAAACGTTTCATGTAAAATGTAATAACTACATTATACCAAAAGAAAATACGTTTAACACGAGCATTTATGGGTATTTTTCCACATTACAAACCGCGGCTACAAAAACAAGAACCTGGAGAGCCTAATCGGTTCAGTCTAACTAGTACAAAAACCAATTATCTAGGTCGGTTAAATTAAATTCAAAATTTGAATTTTGTAGAAGTTACAAATAAGGAACTCAAAGTTAAACGCGTAATACACCCGAGACAAATTGGTAAGGAAAAAGTCGCTAATTCTTGTGAAAAACTTTCTTCTTATAATATCTTGCAACTTTATTTTTATGTAGTATAAGTTTACGAATAGCATTGGAAATTTTCTTGTACTTTAACGATTCTTTAACATTAGAAGGTTTATTAAAGCATGGAAAAATAACTCATCTATGACAAGAGAAAGTTTATTTTTGCAATAGAAATAGTCACCGTACAACGTGAAAACTTACTTCTTTGGTAATCTATATGAACGGTTTATTGACAAATTGAAAAATTACCAAATTGTGGCGGTTTTAAAGTTTCTTTTAAACTTTTTGACCAAAAAAAAAAGTGTCCTTTAAACTGAAAAGTTACTAAGCACGGACAGAATTATCATTATGTAATTAGAGAATGTTATAGTAAAAGTCACAAAGCAACATAAAAACTTATTTTTTGCAATAATTAACAGTTTGGGTAAACTCAGTGACTAGACTTTAGTGGATTTTGCAATCAGGTTATTGAATTTCAAATTCAACCACCTAATACATTATACACCCCGGTCAAAATTTGATTGATTTGTACATGATAACCACGCTGCCAATTTTCAAGACACCATGTCATCACCATATTAACAGTTCAACGGCCCAAATTTTTATCTAAAATGCATGAATTTAAAAAATATATATAATCTTCAATGAATGAATTGATGGATAGAAATTAAAACTCAATGATCTGATGACAAATCCCTCTAAAGTTTAGTGAACAAAAGGGAAATTCACTCCCTTCACATCTTACTTCTCCTAATGAGAAGTTCCTTATAAACCCGTAAGAAAGAAAATGCCCATGCCCATGGGGCTTGAAGCCGACCCGACCCGACACCCGCAACGGAGGACACTGCCGGGGCGGGGCGGGGCGGGGCGGCCCGACTCCACTCGAGCGATATAAATACGCGAAAGACGAGACGGATTCAACGGCTCCTCCAACCGATAAGGCCGTCGTCGCAGCTCTCCTCAGAGAGAGCGTAAAGGACACCGACCTTCATCGGTCATCGCCACAGCATTCGATACATTTCTCGAGTTCTCTTGCGCACATGGCTGCCGTGGCGTCCCAGCTCGTTCGCGAATGGACGGGGATTCAACAGTTTCCGGCCGCCACTCAGACCAAGTTGCTCGAACTGCTCGGCAAACTCAAGCAGGAGGTTTCGCTTCTCAATTTCCGATATTCATGCCCATACAAATGTTGTTGGTTTGGTTTTGCAGCGCTTTAGCCAGTGAATTGCGATGCCGCGAGCGTACGCCTAGCGTTTCTTGCGTTTTATACTTGCGCTAGTACCCCTTGTTCCGATGTTTTGAATAGCATGGTTCCGGTACATGTGTGGTTCCAGATTGGGTTCATGCTCTTTTGCCAAGATATGTTTCTTCATAGCCTTCTGTCTCGAACCACTTCAAAAGATTATTATGTGTGAATGGAAATGCCTGAACGGCTATTTCAGATTCTTAGGATATCCGTTGCATTCAGTAGCATGCTTCTCAAGTAGCTCTGCACGTTCATTCATTTCTGGGGGATATGATTTTTGTACCATTCTCCCAGAACGTCAGCACCTTGACAATCCTGGTGATGGGGAAGGGAGGCGTCGGAAAATCGTCCACTGTTAATTCAATTATAGGGGAGAGGGCTGTTGCCGTCAGCGCTTTTCAGGTACGTGGTTTTCTTTTTAATCCATGTTAATGCTGTTGCGGTAGTCTTATGCATAACATTTGTCTCGTAGCCAGAAACTCCAAGACCTGTGATGGTTTCACGGTCGAGGGCTGGTTTTACGCTCAATGTCATCGACACTCCTGGGCTCATCGAAGGGGGATATGTTAATGACCAGACTCTTGAGAATATCAAGCGGTTGGTCTTAGCTCCATCCATCAATTCTCTTGACTTATCTCGATCAGTCTTATGTTTCTTCCTGTTTTGTGCAGCTTCCTTAAGAACAAGACCATAGACATTCTCCTCTATGTGGACCGATTGGATTCATATAGGGTGGATAACTTGGACAAGCAGATCGTTAAGGCCGTTACGGAGAGTTTTGGTAAAGATATATGGAAAAGAGCCTTGGTTGTCCTAACACATGCTCAGCTCTCGCCACCTGATGGCCTGGAATATGATGTTTTCTTCACTACAAGATCAGAGGCCCTTCTTAAGGTTGTTCGATCTGGAGCCAAGATAAAGAAGCAAGATACTTGGGTAAATTTGTCTTCACCTACGATTTACCTCCTCCCCTTTTCCCCTCATGAACCTTGTGCTCAACCTATAGCGTACAACTTCCTTATATTTTCTTAGAGATTTCCCTCAACATCGATTCTTTGCTACTTATATTGTAATGCATAAAATTTTGTCTTAAGAGATTGTTCACTTTTATTTGTTTTTACCAGGGCGACGCCATTCCTGTTGCCTTGGTTGAGAACAGTGGGAGATGTAAGAAGAATGAAAACAATGAAAAGGTCAGACATCATTCACTATGAGTTATCACCTTTTCATTGTTTATGATTTGGTTGTTTGAGCAGCCATTGACAAAATTTATAGTGTGCCTTCTGCGTACAGGTTCTTCCCTGTGGAACAGCTTGGATTCCCAATTTAGTTAGAACAATCGCAGAGGTCGCGTTAAATGGAAGCAAAGCTATATTAGTAAACAAGAAGCTGATTGAAGGGCCAAACCCCAATAGGAGATGGAAAGAATTTATACCATTAATTTTTGCATTCCAAGTATGTTGCTATGGAACTGTCATATTGCTCTTTTCCAAATCATCCACCAGACAGTAGTTGATGCAAGCTCTTCTTTGTTGTATTTGGTTGTTAACAGCACTTCTTCATCATTAAACCTCTACAACGGGCAATCAAGAATGATATGGCAAGGGAGACAAGACCAGCATGGGAGCTGAGGGACGCTGGGTTGTCTAGTCGAAAGTTGTAATCAACTATAATGTACGTAAATTTTGTTATTTTCAATGTTCGAACTGCTTCTCTGGGATTTGTGTTGAGCGTGTTTGCCACCTGCGGATGGAGCTTTCTGGCGGTTTGTTATTCGAGATTCTTTTTCTACATCATAGAACAGTGAAGATCTTGATAAAGCAATTCAATATGCAAATCTCCCCTTTTGACTCCATCCACTCATATGTAGGATCACTGTGCAGACTGGAATGCAGTAGAATGATGGTTAAGTTCAATAGAAGATGGAACTCGATCAAGCAAAAACTGTCACGTCTTACATGACTAGCTCGACATGTATGCTCGCACACATGAGGGCACCCAGCCAGTATTCACAATGAGGCTGTCAGTGGGTTTTAACCAGGTGGCTAATTCTGTGATGTTTCTCTGAGTTGTGGGACAAAACTAAACATTATCAGATACCCCTGGTTTTGTAGTTATAAGGTGCTCCATGAAATGTTCATTCATTAAGAAGACCGGTTAAGTCGGCACAGAGCTGCGAGAGAGCATTAGCTTATTTAAAGGCTTTCCACTTTATGAATCGATGGTAGAGGCTCTAGAGAGATTAAGCTTTTCGGTGGAGTGCTCTACCATGTGTTCTTGTATACTCAGACAACCATTGCAATTAATTCACCTTTATCTGCGTTACAACTTACATTTTTTCGTCACGTGGTTCTTGACTTTAGGGGATCTGTGTGTTTTGCGCATTTTCTTTTGTTGGCAATTTTTGGGGCTTCACTTGTTTTTTTGGCATTCATTAAGTGGAGTCAGCTGGTTACTAGAGCTTCCTTGGGATGTGATTCTCGGTGTGCATCCAAGTCCAGCTCTGTTTCCTCAGAAATGATGCTTACGAATTTCCACTGTATTATCTGTTGATCATCGGTGGTTTTTATTTTTTTTGGCCGTAGATCATCAGTGTTCGGCAGAGCCATTTCATGCCGTTTCTTGCAGTTTGCTCTTTGGAGTCGTCAGCATGAGCTTCTAACCCGGTCTTTACTTTATCTAGGGGTGAGCACTGATCCCGGTTCAACCCGGGAACTAGACCGAACCAGCCGATTTTGGGCTGTTCCCCAAAGAACAGGTCCAGTTCCCTCAATTCCTTGTGCTCAACTGGACCGGTAAACCAAACCGGTGGAAACGGCAATAAGCCTAATTCCTCTTTTCGCTCTTGTTTTGGCCAGTTTTCACGATTTGTTTTGCCTTTTCTTATATGTGTTTATGTGGAGAAATCTTATTGTGGAGATGGTGAAGGATTGTAAAAGACCCATCTTCTGAATTTTAATTATTGAAAAGAGGAAAACATTTTCCCCCTCATTCTTTCCCCTTTAATTTTAATTATTTTAAAAATTATAATTCTAATAATTTTGTAATTATCTTTTTTATCTTTATTTTTTCTTTTTTCTTTTTCTATTTTCATTTTGATCAATTCCAAAATGAGGCGAGGCCAGGCCACGCCAGAGCTCGCTGGCCTCGAGCGAGCGAGGCCGAGCCTTGCCTGTGGCCGTTCGCCGACCGTTGCGGTGGCCGGCGACTGGCAGGGAAAGAAGAAAAGAAAAAAAAAAGAGAAAAGAAAAGAAATATAAAATATTTAAAAATTATTAAAAATTAAAAATTTGATTTTTTAAAATAAAATAAAAAATTATTAAAAAAGTGCAAGGAAGAAAATCAAATAAGATTTTCCATGCTGAACAGTAGAAAATATTTTCCGGGTCTTTTTCAGGTTTCAGCCGAACACCATAAAATATGGTCATTTTCCTAGAAAATGGTTTTCTGGAAAATATTTTCCAGAAACAACATATTTTCCGCTAAACGAATGGAGCCAAGTGTTGGTTTTTTCTCTTCCTTCTTAGAACTCCCAAACTTGAAGAAGGGGATAATAAAAGGCGCGGCATTAAATGTCATTGAAGTTTAAAGAACCGAATAAATACATATATAATAAGCACTGAGTGATCCAGATTGGTTCCACAAATTGGGAATTGATCTTAACTATGTAGGTTCCAGATTCTAGGATAAGAACTGACTCATTTTGGAATTGATCACCCTCAACTTTACCCGCGGCTACAATGATGAATTGTAGAGTCAAAAGAGTCAGTTTCATTGAGTTGTTGTACAATATATATATACACACGTGTTTGTTTACAAAATAAAACAAAATTAAAGATAATAAAAAAAACAAATGCAGTTGAGATCAGTGGGTTGTTAGCTCAATCTTAGAAATCACAATATGAGTTTTCAATTGGGAATTCCATCTCTGTATTACGCCCTCGCATAATGGAATAATACGCCCATCTTGGACCGAAACTGATGAGCTTCTGTTTTGACATGGCCTTTGTTAGGAGGTCTACCAATTGATCTTTCATGGAGATATGACAAACTTGAAAGAGGCTATTGGGAACCCGATCTCGCACAAGGTGAAAAGTCAATGGATATATGCTTCATACCGGAGTGAAAGACAGGATTCGTGCTGAGATAAGTCGCTCCGATGTTGTCGCAATAAAGTGTCGGTGGCGTGATGGCGAAAGGAAATTGAGTTTCATCGAAAATGATATCCCTTGAAAGAAATATTTTATTTGAAGTCGGGCAAAAACATTTATGCGCATTGTATTGAGTGGAGTACACGAGAAACACACAAGAACGAGACTTTGTAACAAGTTTATGTCGAGCATAAGGTTTTAACCATGGAAAGCATAAAAACTTTGAAGAATAATTAGGGGTTTGATGAAAGCGTACCTTGAAAGGAGAATGAAAATTCAAAATTAGTATAGAGAGTCGATTTATTAAATAAGTAATAGTGAGAAAGGCACGCGACCAAAATGTTAACGGAACAGCAACACGAGAAATAAGACTGGAACCAATTTCAATGATATGTCGATGGCGGCATTTAGCGGATCCATTGTGTTGGGGAGTATAAGGTGCTGTAACAAGATGGATAATACCATGATGGAAGAAAAAAATTGTTAAATACGGTAAATTCACCTTTACCATTAAATAGTTTGTCAAAAAATTTAAAAGAGATTTTCAACCAAGAATTTGAATTCAACAAAGAGCATGGACATCAGATTTTCGTTGAAATGTATACAACCAATAATATTTCGTGAAATGATGACGAAAATAACATAAAATCGATGTAGCAAGCTGGACATGAACTGATGAATTGCAAAGTCAAAAATAATATAAAATAGCATACCGTCGATGAAACCCAAAAAGATCATAACCCATGATGGCTTGTAATCGGATGGTGAGCGCTTAATAGGGAGTTTGGGCGGCTGCGTTGATGGCGATTAGGGGCGAGCTTTTGGCATTAGTGGAGGTAGTTATCTGGGTGACGTTTTCGATTACGATGGGATCATTAGATCAATTTCATTGAGTTGTCGTATACTATATACGCACACAAGTCTTTGTATACAGAATCAAATAAAATCAAACTAAATATATGTGATTGAGATTAGTGGATTGTTAGCTCAATCTTAGAAATCACAATTTGAGTTCTGAATTGGGAATTCCATTTCTGTATGACATACTGGACGACAGGACAAATTTCCATCTTTTATACTGACTAGTTGGTCGTAATAGAGATCCTCAAAGCCTCCTCAAACCTATGCAGGTCAAGTTGTTTCTTTAAAATTAGCCGGACTAGGAAAGAACGATAGCTAAATAGCTGGACGGAGTACAAGGAATGGCACCTAATAAGATCACACGCGTATATTGGATATTTCACTCAACAACAAAGGAGGGATGGCAAGTTTTGGTCCGTGATCACGGGACCTTATTCGGGCAAAAACCAAGAAGAAGAAGATGAAAATTCTTTGTGCTTCTGAACACCTTCAGCAGAACTGTATATAACTAGAATCAGTACCACCCCCTTCTCTCTTCTTCCTCGATCGTCTGTTTTAAGCAGCTTGGGACTTCGCAACCTCAAGTTTAGCACAAACTGCATCCCAGGAAACAAGCTTCTCCATGAAGATTGATATGTAATCTGGCCGTCGGTTCTGCAAGATTTCACAATATAGAGTTGGTTAAGAAGTTAGACCGCCTTTGACCGTCTATATCAGATTTCGGAACATGAACTTCTGTATTGAGGAGCAACAGTGAAGTAAGCTAACCTGATAGTCAAGGTAGTAAGCATGCTGCAACCCAAATCAAAGTTTCGAAGAGTTAGTGACTTCATAGATTTGCCAGTCTCTTTCGCAAGAATTTGAGAGACGGAGCTCAAGGATAAAATTTTGGTAGGGAACAAGAACAAGAATCACTACAATTTCATCTTACCTCCCATACGTCAATCGTGAGGAGCGCCTGCAAAAAGTCAACGAAAACAATCCTTAGATCATTCGGGTAGAGCTACATTAATTTGTGACCAAAAACCTACAGCTAACATCACAGCAACTGCTTGGTAATTCGCAAGCATGCTTGAGAAAAAACGTACTACTTTCAATACCAGAAACTCGAAGAGGGTGTGCCTCACGCTGGGAGGACATTACGTACCGTGTAGCCCAGAACCAGGGGATTCACAGCATTGGGAGTCTTCAACACTACAAGCTCCTTCCCATCCGAAGGACGGGGATTAACTGTATTCACGACAACAAAGCCCTATTAATGTTTTCTCAGTCCTATGATACGTTGCAATGGACAGTCCCAAATAGTTTGACCCTCTTCAAAGAAATGCACGTGGAAGGGGCCGGATTCACTCACAGGCAAGCCAAGCCCAACCGGAACCGAACTGCGTGGCGGCAGCCGCTCTGAACTCTTCGGAGAACTTCTCAAAAGAACCGAAATCTCTCTCGATCGACTTCAGAAGTTCGCCAGTCGGCTTGCCTCCGCCGCCCGGCTTCATCGAATCCCAAAAGAAGTCATGGTTCCAGACCTGCAAGCGATTCAATTAAAGAGTGCAGAACTGAAATTTAGATATGGCCAGGCATATACATGATGAAGCATCGCTAGAATTTTTTTCAGTAGAGGGACTGAGAGTGAGGGTAAGTGATCCTTTCAACTTGGTTATAGGATCCTTTCAACTTGTTTATACGTGCCTCGATACATCGCATACGATCATATCAAAGTTAACAGCCACGCAACACCGGCACGGCGTGTTTTCACTCGTCTCCTCACGATCATCGCATCAGATAGGCATCTCAAAAACAATCATCGGTCGGGTCCAGATCACCGTACCTGAGCAGCGTTATTGAACGGAGGGAGAAGGTCGCCGTTGTTGTACGTCCCAACTATGACGTCCTCCAACGACTTCCCTTGCAGCTGCGTCCCGACGATCTGCTTGTTCAGGTTATCGACGTACGACCTGTGATGCTTCCCCCAGTGAAACAACAAGGTGTTCTGGCTCATGTTGGGCTCCAGCGCATCCTACAAAGCCAAAAAAACAAAGAGTCGGAGTCCAGAGCGGAATTCAGCTGCGCAAAGGGAACGAAATCTTGCGTCCCGTTTCGAAATCGGACTCAAAACCCCGGTTAAAAGCGACGATTGCTTCGACGGATTACCAGGGGATACGGAGGAGGCTTGAGCTCGAGCTTCGCAGCAGGGATCGCGGCCGCCATTGGTTTGCGCTTTCTTGGATGGAATCGAAGGGGACTGAGGAACACTCCGATGTCAAGTCAAAATGGCATGAAGTGTGCACACCACACGGTTTTACTCATGTTGGTCGGGGGTGGGTGGGGAGATGAAAGTGCGGTACGCTGTACTACTCTTGCCACTCACCCAAATCGCCGCATGGGGCCGGAGTTTGTGTAGTACAACGTTGTACTACACGGTTGAACTGCTCATGCTTATCCAACGACACGAACGTGCATTTCAAAGTTTGTAGTGTTTTTTTTCAACGAACGTCTTGCGATGCATCCTCACAACGCCCGTATTTTCTACCATTAGCTGTTCAAACCGTCATTTACATTTTCATATCCTTTTTTATAATTTAATCTATGTTTTTTGTTTTAAATTTTGATCAAAAGTTCAAAACTGGCTTTTTTCTTGTGTGTGTGTGTGTTTTTTTTTTTTGGCTTTATTAAGACAACGGGTATATCACTTAGGTATGAGTGTACATGCTGTGTTTGGGGAAAGGATGAAATTGTGGGGAATGAAGATGGGTGTGAAAAATGGTAGGGGTGAGCACCGGTTCTGAGTTGAATTGGGAATCAGATCGAAATTGGATTGAATCGGGCGGTTACTTTGCTCTTGGCCTCTCGTGCAGCCACCACCATGGTCTCGCCATCTTGTCGCCGTCCACCGTCCCAACTGTACCGCGCTCTAGGTCCGTCTCTATTTCTCTTTCTCTTAGAGTTTGCCCTCGCATCTCCATCCTCTATTTTGCTCCCTTGCTCTCCGTCCGCCTCAGTTTCAGGTTTCTAGTGACCAACTCACCTATAAAATAGAGAGTTTGAAATTATTGATGAGAAGAAAAAAATGGTTGAGAATTTTAAGATGGGTCATCATCTCCCTACATATCATTTTTCTCCCCGCTCCATCGTTTCCACGAACAACATATAAGTTATTATCTATCTATCGGTTGCATAGAGGGAAACGAAATTCCTATTGGTAACCACTTCCCTTGGCAGAAGAGGTCCCTGTGTAATCGGGTCCCTAAACTATGTCTTTTTTTGTTTGAATTGGTCTTTCCATTTAAACTATGGTAAGAAATGTTGATGTGGCCGTTAAGTCTCCATTTAATATCGATATGGCAGCTGAAGTGGCTTTTAAATAAAGTTAAAAAAATAAAACAAAGCAGGATAATTATTAAAAAAATAAAAATAGGCAAAATTTAGAAAAGAAATAAAAAGTGGCATGTTCACTAGTAATATAAATTCAATCCTAAAGGCAAAGCATCACCGAGTCATGAATATAGATAGATAGATTCAAGCATTCAGAAGTTTATTCTTTGGCAAAAGTATATAATTTATAGGCCTAATACCCTAAAAAACCTCAAACTTTAGCTTTTGTCCCAAATTTACCTTTTGTTAAACTTGTTTTGTCCCATAAAAAATCCTCAACTTTAGGTTTTGTCCTAATTTTACCCAAAACTTTTTTTGTCCTATAAAAAATCCTCAACTTTTTGTCTTGTCCCAGTTTTACCGTTCAATCCCAATTTTACCCTAAATTTTTGTAGATTCACAAGAAACCACAAAATTTTACTTGAGTCACGAATCTGCCCCCATTAAACCTTTGTCCAAAATTTTTTGTTGACACCTGAGGGATGGAAAACTCCAAAGCACGAGCTGTTCGAGCGTCCCGAGCGCAAGCTCTCTGACCGCGAGAGAAAGCACAGGAGATCAAAGATTGAGTGCAAAATCACTGAGCGCGATTTTGACAGAGGGTAATGGAAAGCAGATTTGGGACTTATGTAAAAGTTTGTGATCTTTTATGAGACAACAAAAATAGAGTTAAATTGAAACTAGACCTAAAGCTGAAATTTTTCATGAGACAAAAAAGTTTCGAGTAGAATTAGTACTGAACCTAAAGTTGAGGGGTTTTCATTAGAAAAAAAAAGTTTAGGGTAAAATTGGGACTAGACCTAAAGTTGGGAGTTTTTTATGGGATAAAAAATAGTTTAGGGTAACATTGGGACATGACTTAAATTTAGAGGTTTTTTATGAGATAAAAGATAAAATCGGGACAAAAGCTAAAGTTCGAGATTTTTTAGGGTATTAGGCCAAAATTTATATAAGTCGACATCTATTGCAATATTTTCCGGAACATATAACCATCCCAACTTTAGAAAATCATGGATATATTAAGGCGGGAATTTGGAGGGCATATCGGATTACACGAGCTCTCAAATTCTTATCTTTTATTTGAATCCTTATATCTTCCGGACCTTGTCCAAATTGTGAATCGTGGATCAGTCTCGTTAGTCATTAATCTCATTTCAGACGCCAGAATTTGCACTGTATTATGTTTTGATTATGGGTGTTCTGCAGAGCCATTTCAGGCCGTTTCTTGCAGTTCGCACTTAGGGGTCGTCAGCTGGAGCTTCTAACCGGTTCCTTAGTTTATCAGCATCCCTTCCGATGATACAGGACTACTCGAACGGTCAGGACAATTTTCCATCCTTTATACCATGAAAATGCTAAATAGCTGGATGGAGCACAAGGAATCCTACCTCATAGATTCAGCGCAAAATACAGGACATTTCTCACAACAACAAAGAAGGGATGGTAAATTTCAGTCCACCCTCCCCTCTAAGTCCGCTAAGAGAGAGCATGGAAGGGGTCCGTTATTACAGTACCTTTTCGGGCAAAAAAGCAAGAAGAAGATAATGGTGGTGAAAATCTCGAGCTTCTGAACATCTTCAGTAGCAATGTCTGACTAGAATCAGTACCACCCCTTCTCTCTTATTCCTCGTCTCGTTTTAAGCAGCTTGAGACTTTGCAACCGCAAGTTTAGCACCGACTCCTTCCCAGGAAACAAGCTTCTCCAGGAAGATTGATATGTAATCAGGCCGTCGGTTCTGCAAGAACTCACAAGATAAGAGTTGGTTAAGAAGTCAGACTACCTTTGACCATCCGTATCAGATTTTGGAACATGAACTTCTGTACTGAGGAGCAACTGAACAGAAACTAACCTGAAAGTCAAGGTAGTAAGCATGCTGCAACTCAAATCAAAGTTTCAAAGAGTTAGTAACTTCATAGATTTGCCGTCTCTTTGGGAAGAATTTGAAAGACGGAGCTCAAGGACAAATTTGATAGTGAAAAAAAAAAAAGAACAAGCATGAGGTACAATCACTACAATTTCCTTACCTCCCATACGTCAATCGTGAGGATTGGCTGTAAAGAGTCAACAAAACCATCGTTAGATCATTCGTGCAAAGCAACATGTGACCGAAAATACAGCTATAAAACAGCTAACATCACAGTAATTACTTTGTAATTTGCAAATTCTTGAGAAAAACATACTACTTTCAACCAGAAACTCGAAGAGGGTGTGCCTCACACTAGGAGGATATTACTTACTATGTAGCCCAGAACAAGGGGATTCACAGCATTGGGACTCTTCACTACCAGAAGCTCCTTCCCATCCGATGGACGGGGATTAACTGTATTTACGACAACAAAGCCCTATTAATATTTTTCTGTCCTATGAAACGCTACAATCGACAGTCCCAAACAGTGTGACCCTGTTAAAAGAAATGCATTTAGAAGAGTCAAATTCACTCACAAGCAAGCCAAGCCCAGCCAGAACCGAACTGCGTGGCAGCAGCTGATCTCAACTCTTCACAGAGCTTCTCAAAAGAACCGAAATCTCTCTCGATCAACTTCAGAAGTTCTCCAGATGGCTTTCCTCCGCCACCTGGTTTCATTGATTCCCAAAAGAAGTCATGGTTCCAGATCTGCAAGCGATTCGATTAAGAATGCAAAACTGAAATTAGAAGGGTAGACAAAAACTTAATGAAGCATCACTAGAATTGTTTGAGTGGAGGGACTGAGAGTGAGGGCAAGACATCGTTTGAACTTGGATATAGGATTCGCTGTTGTAAGTGTATATATGTCCAACTTTGATGCACAATTTTTTTGCCTTGATATATCGCATATGATTATATCAAAAGTACATGATGATTGCAATTTTATCTTGAAATCAGACAAATAAAAAATATGCAGCACTGAGCTCAAAAGAAGTTATAGTCACACAACATCGGTATGGTGTGTTTTCATTCGTCTACACACAATCATCTCATCAGATAGGCATCTAAAACAATTACAATAGGTCCAGGTCACCATACCTGAGCAGCATTATTGAATGGTGGAAGAAGGTCACCCTTATTGTATGTCTGAATTATAATGTCCTCCAAGGACTTCGATTCCAGCTCCGTCCCGGCAATCTGCTTGTTCAGATTATCGACGTAACCTCTGTGATGCTTTCCCCAGTGAAACGACAGGGTGTTCTGGCTCATGTGTGGTTCCAGCGCATTCTACAACGGACGATAAAACAAAAGCAAATAGTCAAATTCAGGAACACAGCTACGCAAGGAACGAAATTTGCGCGCTGTTTCTCACATTCATCCTTTGTATTAGCTAATCTGTTTGCAAAGGCTTTCGACATCTTATCTACTTAAGGATCTGAGACAAATGACAGGGTGATGTTACCAGGGGATATGGAGGGGGCTTGAGCTCGAATTTCGCAGTAATCACAGCAGCCCCGAACCTCCTCGGACTCGACCTCTGCAGCACACAAAAGAAACACGTCTCCACTCTCAAGGGGCCATTCAAGATTGCTAATCAATCAGGACAATCAAAAGGTATAAAAACACACGAACGGAAGGAGATACTCTGCAAGATTTTCCCCTTTTCCAACCAATCAAGACACGCACGCACGCGGCACGGGGACACCGGGTCGACTCGAGAGAGTCGAAGAAACCGATGAGAGAAACGGCGTACAGCTAGTCCTAAATCCATACCTGGCGCTGGTTCTTCGCCCATTGCAAGCTTCGAGTCGATTTCGCACCTCCATTCGGCCCTGCAACTCAAACCCCCAGAATCACTGTCAAAAAACCACGCCGTTAAAGAATCATCGCGAGTGCGAAGTAAGGAGAGAGGGAGAGAGGGAGAGTCGATCTTAGGATGATACGAGAGAAGGACGACCTAGCCGCGGTAAGAAAGCGTTGGAGAGCGGAGCGGTGGAAGAAGCGGCGGCGGTCGCCATTTTTCTCGCCCTTTCTCGGATGGAATCGGAAGGAGAAGACAGAGCAACTCCGATGTCAAGTCAAATGGTGTGGGGGAGCGTGCACACCACACCACACCACACCACACCACACCACCACAACGGTACGGCTCATCTTTGGTCTGTGGCCAGAGGATCGTTGATTCTGCCACGTCGGGCGGCTGATTGATGGGTTTGGGATAGAGTCCCAGTACAACACTGGCCACATCCCCAACGCCGGTCGGGGCGGAGTTTTTGGGTACGTGAATATTCGATGCTTCGAAGCATCCAGAAAGGAAGACCCAGTTCTCGAGAGATGTTATTACGTTTGTGGAGAGTCTCGATTTTTACGTATCAACACGAATGTCTGCCGATAAATTGCCGCGGCTTCGGTGAAAGAAAAAAAAAAGTCACAAAAATTCTAAACTGTGCTCACAAGACGTATTTATTTTAATTTTTTCTTGTGACATAAAAAATCTCAAATTATATTTATTGTGCCATATTCTATCCTAAATATTTTTTTGTGACATAAAAAATCTCAAACTTTTATCCATACAGCACATTAACTCCCAGTTTCTTTAGATTATTTAAAACAACGTAGTTTTTACGCCATGTCAACATTGTTTGCTTTCTGACGTTTATGTAAGTAGATTTTTAATGGTTTTCATTAGAGATATATTCACTAAAAGTCCCAAAACTTATCACCAAAGTACAATTGAGTCCTAAAACTTGCAAAAAGTGCAATCAAGTTCTAAAACTTGTCAAATTGGTTCAATCGAGTCCTAAAGTTAATACCGTCAAATTGTTTGACGGAAAATGCTGACGTGGCATATTTAAATCAATTTCTCTCTCCTACATGGCATTTGTTATTATTTTCTCATTCAAATCTTATTTAAATTAAATAAAAAACTAAAAAAAAATTTATTTATAAAAACAACAATGAAAAAAAGAAAAAGAAAAAGAAAGGGCAGTCCTCGCTGTTGGGCACTGTTGCTGCCACCCATCACTGGCCCCGGCCGAGGCCTCGCCTGCCTCTGGCAAGGCTGGCGAGGGCTGGCGACCCTGGTAGGCCCGAGCTAGGCTGGCCCAGATTTGGGTGAATTCGGCCATCGCTCGAGCCTACTAAGCGTTTCCGGCCCAAGCCAAGGCTAGTAAGGCTCTCCTAGATCTGGGTGGAGGTGCCTAGATCAAAGCCTAGCGAGCGTCGTCGACCCTAGGATTTTTATTAAACATATCCCATTTTCATTAATAGAATTTTGATGGAGAATAAATATGTCACACAAATATAAGTTTGAGATTTTTGGTATTACCGAAAAAAAAATTCAGGATAGATATGTTATTTTGATGACTTTTGCCCTTTACAAAACCATCGTATCTACTTTCATATCCTATTTTCTAATTTAAACAAAGTTTTTTTAAATTTTTATCAAAAGGCAAAGACGACACCACCCCCGGCCCCCCTCTTTTTTTTGTGAGGTTTTGTTTGGCTTTAAGACAAAGGTATATATAACTTATGTGAGAAAAAGGCATCAGAGCTCCTTGAACTTTTCCAAATTGTTGATTCAGATTCCTGGATTTTTTGTTTTTTGACAACTGGGTCGCTAAACTATGTATTCTTTTGTTCGAATTGATCATTCTATCAAAATTATGGACAGAAATTAGCCAACATTTGTGGGCTATTCTATCTCAATCTAGATATAAATTTGTGATTTACAAAGCGTTATACACGTTCTTTCAACCTGTCGGTGTTGTCTTCTCTATACGGTGATGGTGCTAGGGACGCTGGATCTAGGCACGCACCGCCTTTTGACAAAGCCTTAGCTATTGAAAATGGAAATCTCAACATGTGCTTATGACTAATGATAATGCAAGATTCAGTGATCGGCTGCCGATTGTGCTTTAATATTATGACAGATCCATTCTTGTGGAGCGAGCGAGTCTCTGCAGGCTGTACCAAGCTGATTCATTTTTAAGGTTTACTTGCTTTGTGGGAGTTGCATTTTTGTCTTGAAGTTATGTACCTCTCTTTCATGTAAAATGAAAATTTTTCTACTGACCAAAAAAGAACAATAAAAAAGAGGAATGACTAACTTGTACAAAAGAAAATATAGTTTAGGGATCCAATTATGTTTAAAAAAAAAGGTCTAGAGACATGATTGAATAATTTGCAATAATTCAACTACCTTGGGTGCCTTTTCCCAATTTAAATTGTACATGGTGCGACTGTATTCAAAATTTATGTACCAAACGAGAGACTTTTAACATTGTAACTTTTTATGCTGCAGATACACATTTTGTGCGTAGAAGCAAGAAAATTTTCTATTCTTAGGCCAAAAACAGCCAAAACTACGAGAATTAAAGCTATTATTATTGGGCCAAAGAAACAAATAGTTATTGGTATATTAGCTAAAATCTTTTATAGTTTAGGTTACAACTCTCTCTATATATAACTAATTTTTCTAGATATAATATATAGTAGATGGACTGACACGATGATTAATTTGACAAAATTGGATTGAGATTTAATTAAAGTCTAATTTCAACGGAAATAATATAAATAGATAGATTCAAGCATTCATAAGTTTATTCTTCGGGAAAATTATAAAATACATATATGTCGAAATACAAAGATCAAAATCTAAATCAAAATTTTCTAAAAAAGGCAAGTGACAATCACATATAACTATCCCAACTTTAGAAAATCACGAATAGAATAAGTTGTGAATCGTGGACTAGCCTCATTAGTAATTTAATTTCATTTCCTACTAAAAGTAAATTCAACAAAGCCTATAATTAGATATCATGGAACCCTATTAATTCTTTGTATCGTGCTACAGTTGTCAATGGATCAATATGGAATATAGAAATAAATCAAGATAATGGGATCAATTTTGTTTTTCCCAAAACAAGATAAAAAGAGCATTAGTTGCTATTATACATCGACACTTTGAAAGCTGCGGGCCTTTCCTGGTTCTATCATACTTCCTAACCAGCATGCTTATCTCTAGCATTAAATTTTCCTCCGTTTCAAATTTCTATTCTTATCTCATTGGATTTGTCCTCACCATGAACTCGGTTTCCGCCCAATTACCTGGTTCCTTCGTCAAGGTGAAGAAACACAAGTATGAATTCTCCACGTTCATTAAGGACTTTGATCGAATTACACCGATCTGGAGGGCATACAGAAGCATGGAAATTGCGATGATCTTCTTCAACAAGGCTTCATGAGTTCTTGGAATGTGGCCTCCAGCCTTGGTGACCGTAAGTACACATCAAATTTCTTCCTTTTATTTGTATTTTTATCCTTCGACATATATATGCTTTTCAATTTTTTACAATGTGGGTGTCTAGGACTCTCAAGGCTCTTCCGGCATTGTCTTTTGTTGTGGTTATTGTCTCTTCACACATGCGCTCTCACATTCTGCAATTCTTTGAAGAAAATAACTTTTAGGAGGGGAGAAAAGTAAAAAAGAGGAAATAGGGTGAGCCGACGTTATCTGATTTCAATTGGATTTTCTAATTTTTCTGTTACCTTTTTGTGTGATTGACTTGATTTACATGAAAGAGTTATCTTGTTCGAAGTTTCGAATCATGTGTTTCGCAGGGATACGGATCCACTCTGGTAATTAAATTAACTTGAGTAATCTCATCATGAGAAATCATTGCATCCACAAGGTCCATAGTCCCATTAGGAAGGCCGTGCTCCACGGCATTCTCGGTCTAGTAACCATTCTTTGCTATTCGACTTTAGTTTGGATCCAGTCACAGATCATGCTTCCCGATGAGTTTCTCAATCCCACAGAAACACCAAGACCAATCCATAATAAATGATCGTTTTGCTTCTTGCATGTGAATTATGGTAGGAAAGGATTTGCATTGAAGACGTTCTCTTACTCGAAACTGGAGTTAGGTTCACGTCATTAAAGTCCTAAGATAGACAGTTAGGCAAGTAGCACGCATTCTTCATAATCTAAGGTCGGAAGCTCTCTCTTCAACTCATATCGACGTATACACATACGGTGCAGATCCCTCCTGATATCGACTCTAATCGCAATCGCAGATGGAATATCTGAAAGATCGCGCCAGTCACTTGGTCATTGCATGTCTTCTCTTGGTGGGCCTTCTGTACATTTTCTTCAACTCGACTCCCACAGGCACTGACCTCCTCTTTCAGCTCCAAGGCAAGAACACTCATCCCTCCATTGTTTCGGTACGCAAACTTCCCTTTTCTTCCTTACTTTTCATTCAACGAAGTTTGAGTGACATAAGCGACATTATATAAATTCTAGCGCGGCCTGTACAAAACCTAAATCCATGGGATGTTTGTGCACATGGTGTAATTTAGGGTGTTGTGTGGTGTTACATGTGGTCTAGGGATCAAACGCAACCGAATATAGGGATGAGCTTGAGGAAGCATTGGCTAAGGCGACGCGGCCAAACAAGACGGTGATCATAGCGATGGTGAACGAGGCTTATGTAGAAGGGGATAAGCCGATGCTCGACTTGTTCTTGGACGGGTTTTGGCTGGGCGAGGACATGCGCGCCCTAGTCGACAATCTCTTATTGGTGGCGATCGACCAAATGGCATTCGAGCGATGCCTGTTCCTGAGGCTTCACTGCTACAAGCTCCAAACAGAGAATGATTTAGCCGGAGAGAAAGTGTACATGTCCCAGGACTTCGTCAACATGATGTGGAGGCGCACTCTCTTTCTGGGCGACGTGCTCGAGCGAGGTTACAGCTTCATTTTCACGGTACTCCTTTCCATTTCCTTTGATCCCCTCCTACAAATGTTTTGCATCTTTCATGGTCCGGAGGAACATGTAATTGTGCAAAATCTTCCAGATACATTTAGGTAGTGTAAGTTTGCTATTTAGACGTAATGTTAGTATTGCAGTTGGGGTAAAAAACAAGGAATTTTACAGTTGACTTCTAAAAGTTGGCAAAGCCTAGTACCATGGCTGATCCAGGGACCAAAGAGGGTCCGAGATGCTCCATTTTGAGGCTCTAGTATAGATGACCAGTTATCGTAGTCATGCCTAAAATAATAATAAGTTCAACCCTACGTGATATTTGTTCAAGTTTCGATTATTCTGGCTGCAACCTGGCTTTCACTGAATTAAAGTATGGATAGCTAGCTTTTAGTTTTACTATCAACCCTTTTTCCCAGCAAAACCAACTTCCACTTTCCACAGATACCACCACAGATTCATCCGTGATACTAGATGCATGTTATGGCTAAACACCACCTAGGCTGATGAATTTTCGTGCCTGCCCTTCCTAGGACACGGATGTGATGTGGCTAAGAGACCCATTCCCAAGGTTGAGCCCCGATGACACCGTCGACCTCCAGATCAGCAACGACCGGTTCAACGGCGATGAGTGGAGCCAAGCCAACCCCATCAACACTGGCTTCTACATGGTTCGGTCCAACAACAAGACTGTCGCGCTCTTCCGCGAGTGGTATCAGAGAAAGAATGCATCCCTTGGGCTCAAGGAGCAGGATGTGCTGGACCGGATGATGCACGAGGGTGCATTCGCGCGGCTCGGCCTGAGGGTGAGGTTCCTGGAGACGGCCTTGTTTAGCGGGTTTTGTGAAGACAGCAGGGACGTGAGGGTCGTGTCCACGGTTCATGCCAACTGCTGTCGCACCATCAAGGCTAAAGTGGCCGATCTCACCAGCATTGTCCATGACTGGAAGAGGTTCAAGAGTAGTCCTCCGGCCAATGATACAGCGCCGTTTGCCTGGTCGCTGCACTCGGCTTGCGAAGAATCGTGGCACTAGGCAGTTTTTTGGCATTGGCTCGTGGTTATTAGATTTATCTTTGAAGCGATTGATCAGCGATTATTGACTACCAGAACGATGCTCGACTTGATGAGCCACGTTAGTTGGCCTCATGTAATGCTTGGGCTCAGCCGGAGTCGATTCTAATGTCTGTGATTTAAGTAAATTTTATTTACCATCCGACTTAAATTTACCCACTATTATATGAAATTAGTAACCTTTTTATTGTGAGACTTGCCAACTAGTTTCCAATTAACTTACCAACTTGTTTTGGGTTATCAACACTCATTTGACAGATTATCTATATTTTATACCAAAATTTCTATTGAGATATCACTTTTAGTTATCTTACTTACCGACTTTTTATGACAACATTTTTTAGAATTGACAACCTCAATTAGAGTGATTGTCGATTTTCCTTCGATTAAGTTACTAACTAGTTTCTTGTTACTAACTCTAAACTAGTTACCAAGGGTTAGTTAATTTTTTTAATTAACAACATCTTGGATCTCTGACACAAAGACTTCTCTTATCTTCGCAAACTTTTACTGACATTTCTTACCAACATCTTAAATTTATTAACTATTATGTGAGATTACCAACCTAATTTCTACATTACTTACCAACTTTTCACTGATTAAATTACCAATTAGTTCTGGTTTACTAACTCTTATTTGTGCTGCCGACCAACTTTTGTATGGTTTTTTTTATTAATGTACCAACAGATTGCCTGAAAAAAGGTTATCGATAATATTTTTACCAACAATTTCTAGACAATTACCAATGCTCGTTGAAATTTACCAACACAAAAAAAAAAAATATATATATATATATATATATATATATGTTTTGAATGGAAAAATGAAATTCTGCCTCAAACGGTGTCACGAGGTTCATGGATAGCTTCAACTGGAAAAGGTAGTTTTGATCAATCAAACTGGTAGAGTAGCATATGTCACGGCCAGCACATGCCCGCCAGGCTCAAAGTGTACGTGCAAATGGGAGTATGTGGAACAAATTCTGTGGATCTGTTTGTTTGTTTCGTCGAAAACCTTTTGTCGCTGGAAGTTTTTTCTAGAAACTTCAATTTCAGAAAAAGTAAATTATTTTTTAGTGTTTGTTAGCTTTGAAAACAAATTGAAAAAAAATAATTTTATTGTATTTGATAATAAGTGAATCCGCTAAGGTAGCTTATATCATAAAAATGACATGTAATGACCAACAAACTTAAATCAACATCTCTATTCGTAATCCATCAAAATAACAAGAATTACACAAAAATTGGGAAATAAATTAAGAAATCGTATTTGTAAAAAAATTATATGAAGGTGTGTTTTTGGGAATGTAGACGAGCACGAGCACTCATAAAGTATATTCAGGAAATGGTAGACAAGATTTATGGAAAAAAATGGACGGGACTCATTGAAAAACAAAGATCAAAATAATTAATGAGAGATTGGAAATAGACATGGAGGGGCCTAGCTTTCTCACTTGGATGCGCAACAAGAGATCAGAGAAAATGATCTCCTCCTTGTCAGAAGGAGAGTCATTTTCCTCAATCTATACTTGTGATTAGTTCGTGAAAAAGGCTTTTCGTTGATCGATTAATTTTTCATTATCCAAATACCGAAAATAATTTCTTGAGAATGGTTTTCCGTAAATAAAAAAAAAACTTATTTTAGATATTGGTATGCTAATTATCTGAGCGTGAGAGAGACAGAGGCTGAGAGAGAGAGAGAGAGAGAGAAGCCAACTTTCATCCTCAGCCTAATCTTGGCCACCCATAAAACGCAACATGCGTCGACCTCTCTACACCTCCCATACTCTTGGATTTCTCTTCCCCTAATCCTCCCTATATATTTTGCCACTTTTTCTCTTCAATCTCGCCCTCCTGCATTCGCTCGCCTCTTCAAAAGCAAAACGTATCGCAGTTCTCTTTCCTCCCAAAAAGATGGTGAAGAAACTAGGAATGAGACGTGCCCCTCCTCTTGCGATTGCCGTCCTTTCCCTTGTCGTTGCCCTCGCGCAGGTTGCCGTTTCCAACGACAAAACCCCAGTACCGGCCGATAAATCCCAGGTGAACGCCTGGTTCCAAAGCAACGTGCAGGCTTTCACGGCTCGAAAGGGCACGTTGGACCCGAACCTGGAGGCCGCGGAGGCCAGGTCGAAGGTGATCAGGGTACGGCAAGATGGGGGCGGCGATTTCAAGACGGTGACCGCCGCCATCGACAGCATTCCCGCGGGGAACAGCGAGCGCGTGATCATTTCGATCGCGGGCGGCGAGTACAAGGAGAAGATCAAGATTGATAGGACCAAGCCTTTCGTGACCTTGTACGGATCGCCTAAAGACATGCCGACGCTCACGTATGGAGGGACGGCTCGACAGTATGGGACGGTCGACAGCGCCAGCCTCATTGTCGAGTCCGATTATTTCGTGGCTGCCAACCTTGTCATCGCGGTGCGTATCATCTGCAATCTGTGTGTTTTTTTACTCTTCTGAATTTCGTCATTTCAAGGTTTACAAGTTTCAGATGCAGTTCGCCACTTCTTTTTCCCCGCTTATTTTTTCTTTCCTAGCATAAATCATTTTCTTTTTACCGGTTCCATGCGGCGTTGCATGCATGCACGTACGTTTTCATGCTGATCACGACCGATTTGTTTCAGAATTCTGCGCCAAGGCCCGATGGGAAGACGCCAGGCGCACAAGCGGTGGCGTTGAGGATTTCCGGCGACAAATCGGCCTTCTACAATTGCAGACTGCTAGGGTTCCAGGACACGCTCTGCGACGACAGGGGCTTCCATTTCTTCAAGGATTGCTACATCGAAGGCACTGTGGATTTCATCTTCGGTTCGGGGACTTCTCTTTATTTGGTATGCATACCAGTGCTCCATACTTGTCCTCGAATATCTTTAGACTAATCAATCGGTTTGAAATCTACTCAATCAAGTAACTACTGAACTCCAACAATGGTTGCGATGCATTCTGCAGAGCACTGAGCTACGCGTCCTGGGAGATAATGATTTGACCATAATAACGGCTCAAGCAAGGGAAAGCAGCACGGAGGACACCGGCTATTCGTTCGTGCATTGCAGCATCACCGGAACCGGCAATGGCACATTCTTGGGAAGAGCGTGGAAGGCCAGCCCGAGGGTGATCTTCTCTTACACCGACATGAGCAGCGTCGTTGCCCCCATCGGCTGGTCCGACAACTTCCATCCCGAGCGCGACAGGTATATAATAACATTCACCACCAGGCCATTGCAAGCATGCAACTCTAGCTCATGAAGTGCGAGATCAACTTACATAACATAGATATTGACCGCGGCCCACCTCACCGAAGGGGATGGGGTGAATGGACGTAATTGCTTGAGCACGATCATGCATGGTTTTGATACACGCACAACCATATACATATGGAACAAAATCGTAACGAAAGGTTCTTGCCACTTGGTAGGACGGTGATGTTCGGAGAGTACAGGTGTTCGGGACCGGGATCCAACCCGGCGGGGCGGGCCAAATTCGCGAAGCAGCTGAGCGACGCAGAAGTACAAAATTACATCTCCTTGTCCTACATCGTGGGCTCCAAATGGCTTCTTCCTCCCCCTAACGTATAGAAAAATAGACCCGAAGTCTTCCCATTTTGATCACCAAAATGTAATGACCACTTTCATTGTGTTGTTCAATTATTTAATGCACGCTCTTGCTTTTCGACCAAAAATATAAGCACGCTCTTATTGAGTATATATACTATGGTGAATCATGATGTGGCGCAATTCGGTGGCACTGTTCATGCCTCCACATATCTCTTGTTGTAAACATTGCATTGTTCTCCCATGAGCATACTTGACTGTGTCTGAATTCTGAGGATGTGCACTCCTTTTAGACTTGTATTCTTTCAACAAGCACCACATATGTGGTCATAGTGGCCGAAATTATAATATTAATTAAGGGCGTGTTCTTTTAGGGGAGAACTTTTGAAACTTTTATGACAAAGAAAAATACTTTCCAAAAACTTGTTTTCATTTTTCCCTTATTAGGTTAGGGGATTCGTTTCCCTAAGTTTAAGAATCCGTATACTTTTTTTTTATCGTAAATGGTTTTTTATTTTTTTTTGTTAACTAATTATTTTTAGCAAACCAAATGCGTGAAAGTTTAGAAAACTAATTTCCGAAAAAAAATTTCACTCAAATAAACACACCCTAAGATTCAAATGCTTGACTAGTTGAAGTGTTCGTATTGCCATCCATTCCTCAATCAGATCGATAGGTCCAAATCTCTACTATTATAATTGTAAATAGCTCGCTTGTAAGGGCAGTACCGTGGTTTTTCCCTTTCTCGAAAGGGTTCTCCACGTAAAAATTTACTTGTTTTATTTTTTATTTTTTCTGCTTTCCTAATAATTTATCGTCCATAGCACAATGAGACGCGAATGATCGAGACAACATCGAGCCGTCCCTGGGCACGCGATCGAAGGTAGATTCAGGCAAACCTCCAGCACGTAGATAGCAGTCGAGTCCCTGCAGGGTTTAGTGCCACACCTTGTGTACCAAGTCCAGCGATTTCTTTTCCTTCTTCTCTGCAAGGTTCTCCGACGCCAAAACGGCCCCAACGTGCCAGATCTTCTCTTGCCGGCCGCCCATAGCTTCCAACCAGGGAGTGGCACCGCCACAGGCGACCACAATCTCACGCACCACTCAGCCTAAGTGGTGATTATCGGATTGATTATTAAGGGGAAAAGTGCCAAAAAAGTCCTAAACCTTTTGCATTGGTGCCAATTCAGTCCTAAACTTTTTTATATTGGTTCCAATTCAGTCCTAAACCTTTTGTTTTTGTGCCAATTCAGTCCTTCCGGCCAATTTTGGTAGGATTTTGCTGACATGGACGTCGGCCGGCCGGTAGCCGGTCACCAGCACTGACGTGGACAACTTTAATAATATTTTATTGAATTTTTATTAATTTTTTTTCTTTTTTTTTTCTTTTTTTTCCCCCTCCCCTCCCTTCTTCCTCCAGCCGGTCGCCCGACTGGCGATCGGCCAGAGGCCGACGCCGGCGAGGCTCGCCCTCGCCAGTGGCTGGCGAGCGTCACCGGCACCGGCCTTTGGCCTCTGGTCGGTCGCCGGTCCGGCGATCGGCTGGAGGAAGGAGGGAGGGGAGGGGGAAAAAAAAGAAAAGAAAAAAAATATTAATAAAAATTCAATAAAATATTAAAATATTATTAAAGTTGTCCACGTCAGCGCTAGTGACCGGCTACCGTCCGGCCGACGTCCACGTCAGCAAAATCCGGCCAAAATTGGCCGGAAGGACTGAATTGGCACAAAAACAAAAGGTTTAGGACTAAATTGGCGCCAATATAAAAAAAGTTTAGGACTGAATTGGCACCAATGCAACATGTTTAGGACTAAATTGGCACCAATGCAAAAGGTTTAAGACTAAATTGGCACAAAAAAAAGGTTTATGACTAAATTGACACTTTTCTCTATTATTAAGTGGCTTGGTCAAATTAATGTCAAGTTTTGAGTGGAGGTGCTTGGTCTTGATTTCAACCGCTTTGGTGGGTGGAAATCTAGTGGAAGAAGAAAAAGTGTTGGCTGCTGGGAAATTATTCTTAAATCTATTGGCATGGTGAGAGAGCTTGAATCAAAAAGAGGGGCCGAAGATTGCTGAATTCATGCATGTGTGCTCGCTAGGTGGCGGCTAAGAGAAAGAGCTTGGTCTCTTCGGAGACATCCGATTAAAAAAAGAGAAAGAGCTTGAAAAAATAATAAATAAAGAGGAGAGTTTGGTCTGAACGTGAAAACTATAAGAGTTTTTCTGATGTGAGCCCAATTAATTAAAATTGTAATTTACCGTTTTACAGGATTGATCTAGTAAGGTAAGATATAAAGATTCTTGATTAGCTTAATATGAGATTGGCTAGTGTGGGCCGAGTAAAGCCCGGTCTGTGATGAGAGGGCATGTGCTAAAAACTCTATAAATGGTGCTCAAGTCTCTCTTCTAATCTGATGCACAAATAACCTCACATAAAGACGCTATTGTGAGGGGCATGAGCCAGTGTTATAGAAGTAGTAGAGGAGAAACACTTGCGATGAGGATTGTCACCATTCCACATCAAGAATGAATTTTGAAGTCAATAATTTAGAGGAATGATTCAAAAAGTCCTAAACTTATTGTTTGAATGCCTATTCGATTCTAAACTTTCCAATTTGATCATAAACCTTTTGACAATTTCTCAATTTAATCTATCCGGTCAATTTATGTTAGAAATCGCTATCGTGGTGATCCAGTCACATCAGTCGTCCTACATGACACTGATGTGACACGACCGGTGGCTGATGTGGACGATCTTTAATGAGACTATCTTAAAAGGTTTAATACTTCATTGGCAAATTGAAATGTTTATAATTGAATTGAAATATGTACAATATATTTAGGACTTTTTGGATGATTTTTTCTTAATAAAAATGAGTTCACACTTGATATACAAATTTGAAATTTAAATTATAATAATTGCATGCGATACACGGTCGTGAATTCACCATTTGCAAAGGAGACAAATAATCTATTGATTGTCTCTTATTTATTGACGAACTCAACAAAATATCTAGAATTGGCATGGGATATAACAATATTATCCCTTTGGTTTTATCGTGACAAAACATGGAAGGAATTAATTATTTTAATGAGTCATCCAACTCTAAATTCGACACTCGCTCCTATATATAAAGGTAATGTTGGAGTTGTTTTTTTAATTAGTTAATAGAAGAGTTCTTAAGTATCTCGATATACTTCACCTCGAAAATGTACTTAGATCAATTGATATTTACAGAGAGTTCTACAAATATTAAAAAATAAAGAACAGTTAAGCAAGCTACAATATCAATTTTTTTTTTAAAATTTAACGAGGATATTGAAAATGTCGACATTTTCCTATCTTTGAGAAGCTGCCGGCATCCCTTTCATTCGAAGACGAAGACCATGGACGTCGCGGTTGCGGGTCTACATTGCTGTGGAATTATATGTCTCCTTCTATTGATTTTTCTCTTAAATGACTTTGACTTTGTTTTAGTTTTTGCTGTTCACGCGAACTGAACAGGTCTTGTGCATTCGAACTAAATACCAGAGGGTCCAAACGTATCTGATTCTATATCATTGCGTGCATTAGATTTTTCCTACGTTGAAATTCCCTTCATGTAATTGGTTAATTCCGATCGCTTATAATAAAAAATATAATCTAAAGATCATGTCATAACTTCTTATTCGATATTTGAACTGAATAAATCTCACTTGTTTAGAAATTCACATTTAGAATTATCTATCTATTGTAAAGTAAAAGGTCTAAGTACTAAATTAACTTCCTCACGACATCAAAATACATCTTGTCGTCCAAAAAATCGCATTACGATCAAACAAAGGGACAATCACGTGAAGGTCTTTGAACTTTTCGTTTTGCGCAATGTCGTCTTTGTATATATTTTTTTAATGCAATTACGTTTTTAGACTTTTTCGATTTGTGTAGTATTAGTCTTTCCTTGAAATACTTGGATGGAAATGCTGACATTGCAGTAAAATGTCCGGTAAATGCACCAATTAAAATACTTCAAGAACTCTTGGTTCCATTGTCTCTCTACTAAGAAGTCGTTGCATCGCTTTCTGGGGAAGACCCATATAGAATAATGGTTCAATAGCAGGCCTTTTGCGGGTCAACTACGCTGTCAAACTATGTTCAACAGTTTTGATGGAAAGTAAGCAGAATGTACCTTAAGGCTTATGCAATTGGAATTGCTGGGGATTGCTCTTCGAAGGATCCACATCACGTTTTTATCTCTTTGAAACTGTAGCACTATGTCGACATGAATCGCGGCAGCCTAACCATAGCTGTAGGCCAAACAAACAAGCGACAAACATCCGGAAGCAGATCAGTCAAAGATGATTTCCCACAGCATTCTAGTGGCTAACTTCTACTGTACGTTTAAAAGTTTCCATTTAACTTTATTTGTGCTCGATATATATGTTACTTAAGAAAGTTCATTTCGTCTCTAGAAGGTTTATTAAATGATGAATTTTCCTGGCACAAATAATATCTACGGGTCATATTTTCTTATACTCACATTTATAATTGATTAAGTTTGCATGCGGATGATATTCATATTATTTACAACTATCCAATCAGAAATTTCAATTTAATCATAAATGGGTGAAAATATATCCCAACATGTAAAGCACTCTTATACTGTCCACTCCGTCAATAGCTTATGTAGTGGTCGCGGCCACCCCCTGATTACTAGACCAATCTGCTGTCATAATTCCATAAACGCCTAGCGAAGATATGGCAAACTTTACCATTTCCATCTCCTTTATTTAGATAGTTACGACGATGGCAATGCATATGACTTTAACCTCTCACCATCAATCTTGGCATTAGAATACAAGTGATCTCTGATTTGATACTTCAAACATGCAAGAGCTAATATAATAATCTCGCCTTTCTTATCCGCTTTTCACATAAAAGAGGGTGCTTAGCATGTATTATTTCACACAACAGATTTATGAAGTTCATGCATTAACTCCTATATGAATGTTCTCGTCAAGTGTCCCGAGAAGAAAGCTCTTCATGCTCGGATAAATGAAATACCAACACAATATTCGTATGTTTGACCACGTATCATCAACTTTAACACGCTATTGGATCATTTCTTCCATGTCGTAAATGCCTTGGTCATGGTCTTGGACGTCTTTTACGTAGATGTGAACATGAAGTTTGTGTTCCGACACAGACCAGACCTATCGACTATTACAACGTTTAATTTACTTCGTGGTCGGCCAGATCTCTCCGTTCATGATCTCTATAAATTGAAGGGCATTCCTTCGCTCTTAGGCATCTGCTACTCACTGATCAACCCTCGTAGGACTCGAGAGCCCAAATAGAAAAGAAAAGAGAAAGTAAGAGAGAGCAGCTAGAGTATCGACAATGAGATCGGTGTCGCGAGTGACGATGATGCTACTAATGGTCGCGACAATAGTCGTGACCATGAGCAATGTGCCGGTGAGTGGCCAGACAAGCCCGAGCCAGTGCAAGGAAGAGAGGAAGCAGCTGGAGGGTAATTGCAGGCCTGTGATATTCGGGAGACAGCCATCTCCCGAGTGTTGCGCGAGGGTTAGGGTTACTCATGTCGAGTGCGTGTGCCCTTATGTCACCCCCAAATTGGCTGCTCTCATCGGCGTCGACCGCACCATCAAGCAGATCGAGGGCTGCGGCCGGACCGTCCCTCGCAACTTCAAGTGTGGAAGTACGTCTCTCTCTCTCTCTCTCTCTACTCTCTCTCTCTTTCTGGCTATCAACTGGCGGGAAGCTCAATGATCATCACCTTTTGTTTCGATTACTGTAGTTTATCGATCGCATGTGGCGAATGAATGTCAAAATTGAAGCTTTCGAGCTAGCTGATAACTTGACTCTAAGCGTGCCATTTTTCTTGGTGCAGGTGTTACCACTCCTCCTTGAGCGAGGATCGATCCCCCGCAAGCAGTTGCGCGCTATCATAATAAAGGTTTCCTTGAATAAGAGATATACTCAAGCGCCATGGATTTAACTGGAGATTTTATGATGTAGCATGGCCTTAGGCAATCTTCCCTTTGCTTTTTCCTTCTGAAATCTATTATGTAAGCTTTTGGATTATGGAATGATATACCGATGTTGAGATTTCGAGAGAGGTGTCATTATTGCGCTTGCACTTGAAAATTGTTCTGGATCTTATCAGCTGCACTTTATGCATGTCGAATGTAATCTTAAACCAGCTGATCTACATAGCACTTAACTTCGTGAGAACTTCACAATGTTCATCAAGTCTGGCCGATTTCGAGCAATAGCAAGTTGTTTGGAAAATGCGGGAAAAGTGTTATAAAAGTCTTAAACCTATTGCATTTGTGCTAATGTAGTCCTAAACCTTATCACGTAGTGCCTATTCAGTTCTTCCGACTAATTTTGGCCTGATATTATTGACGTGGATACTTGGTTAGCCTACGTAGCATGACTGGCGCTGACGTTGATAATTTTTAATAATATTTTAATATTTTCTCAAATTTATTTATGTTCTTTTCTTTTTCCTTCTTTTTCCTTTCCTTTCTTCTTCCTCTAGAGGCGATTAGCTAGAGGCCGGGGCCGATGAGGTCTCACTAGAGGCGCGAGGTCGAAAGTTGCGACCTTGCAGCCTCTTGTGAGGGACCCTCGGCAGAGTCCAGTGCAAGGTCGCCTTGCGATCATCCGGCGACGCCTCATCTACCCTAGCCTCTGGCCGGTTGCCAAGGTCAAGCGACCACCTAGAGGAAGAAGAAAGGAAATGAAAAAAAAAAAGAAAAGGAAGAAAATAAAGGAAAAATAAAAAATAAAAAAATATTAAACTATTATTACAAATTGTTCACGTCAACGCTGGCGGTGCCACATAAGCCGGTCGACATTCACGTAGCAATATCCGACCAAAATTAGCTAGAATGACTAAATTGGCACTACGTGAAAAGGTTTAGGACTAAATTGGTACATATGCAATAGTTTTAGTACTTTTCTGACACTTTTCACTAGAAAATGCACACCCTCACACGATATCGGGCACAAATCTATGTCACTCGTTTCAAACCATCACACTAATTTTGCCTAAATGTAGAAAGTCGCTACTGAAAGCAAACTGCCCCCGCAAATTGACAACAAGGTTAATACACGGTCCCAAAAATATAAATAGTTATAGATAGACGAAATATATACGGTACAAATCTTCATTAGAGTTTTATGTATAACAACTTTGCTTCTTATTTTTGAAGCAATCCTACTTGATTTATTTGTAATAATAGATCACAATTTGCCCCCCAATAAGAATAAACTCCAGCTAGATCCATACATATGGGTCCATGATGGATCTGGTCTACAAGTGAATGAAGGTGGCCTGCGAATCTTCCACAAGTATTGGAACAAGAAAAAAAAAATCTTCCACAAGTACACACTATAGTCTATTATGGGACCTTCTATATTGAGTTTAGGTTTTGGCTGACCAAGAAAGTATATAACTTAGGATGACATGTTTAGCTGATTTTCAGGTAATTTCTGCGAAAATCATAGCAAAAGCATAGAGAGAGCACTACTGAGTGGCCTGGTGATGACCGATGAACGATGACGGGGTGGTGCTTGTTGTTACAATAATTTTCGGACAAATATTTTTACGTCGGATATGTTTACCTAAGCTCAATAATTGCCGAGAATCAGATCACACACAAGCAATGTACTTATCAAAGAGTGACACTCATGGGTTCGTCGCCACTAGGACGCCCGGAGGAAATCGCTGCTAGAATCGAGCCCTAGGACACATCTGAGCTGCACTACGTCGAGAATAGCCGCCTTTGTCCTTGTGGAAGCCACTCAGGCCTTCACCGCCATTCGCCAATCATCAATACCGCCGTTCCAGGGCTCGTCGTCGCCGCTTGGTTTTGAATCGCCACTTAAATCAAGCCCTAGGGGCTCGGTTTTGGGGTCGCTAGCATTGTCACGTCCTCCAATGCTTGCCACTAGCCACCGTCTAAGCCCAAGTCATCTCCGTCAAGCTCCTGCGATTGATGAGGAATTGCTGCGTTCGGAAAGGAGGAAGATGAACGGAGAGTGGAGATCAGGCCAAAGAAAGAAGAAAAGATCAAAAGAGAAAGGAGAAAAAAATAATAAAGCATCTTACGCGAAAATGCCTTGCTCATGACTAGAAAAATGGCACATGATACACACATGCTCGTCGGCCGGCGAAAATTTGACTGTCAGTAAGCTCAGCTCCTTATTTGAGACAAAGTCTACTCTAATGTCTCTTTTGAGAAATCAGCCCCACTCCAATCTCTTATTTTTTTACTATATTGTAAATTCACATGTTTTTCCGAGTCTCAACAATTTTTCGACTTGTCACACGATATCGATACCGGGGATAAATCTATGTCACTTGTTTCCCCCGTCACGTAATTTTTGCTTAAATGCAGAAAGTCGCTATTGAGGGCAAATTGCCCCCGCAAATTGACAAAAAGGTCTATACACATTCCTAGAAATATACTGTTATATTATTAGAATTCGTTATGTAGAAGGACATTGCTTTTAACTTTAAAACACACTTACTTGATTTTTTCTTTTGTAGTAATAGATCATATTTTGCCCCCAATAAGCATAAACTCCATCTAGATGATTAGATCCATGCATGTGGTCCATGATGGATCTGGTCTATATGACAATTTTTCTAAGTAATTGTCGGGTTGGTTGAGACTTGGCAAGATGACTTGAATTAGGTGATGTGTTGATAATTTATTCAAACATTGAACTTTGATTTTCTTATTGAATTAAGTTGCAACTGGAAGGGTAAATTGAAATTTGGCGCATTTACCTCGGCTCGAGAATGAAGAGTAGTTATAGCATATACCGCTGGTATTAAAAAGAAAAAAAACGACACAAGCGACCTCATACACCATAGATTTGAAAGAATGAGCAATTATATTCCTCAAATTAATGCATGGGGCCGCTTGTATAATATTTCTTTTACGTTGACGTATACCGGCGGCGTATGCTGCACCTTTTTGAAAATTCAACACTCTCATGTGAAAAAGCATAAGTGAATATATGTGGCCTGAGAGACTTCCACAAGCACGCGGTGTAATGGGAATAGGCCTAATTCCCTAAAAAATCCTCAATTTTAGGTCAAGTCCTAAATTTGTTCCGAACTTTTTTTTGTCTAAAAAAAATCCCCAAACTTTATGTCCAGTTTGCCCTGAACTTTTTTTGTCTCAGAAAAAACCCAAACTTTAAGTCCAGTCCCAAATTTATCCCAAATTTTGTTTTGTACAAAAAAAATCACCAAAATTCAATTTATTTTAAAAAAATATACCCTGTGATCCAGTCCCAACTTGACATGACACTTTCACGTCGATAGCAAATCCACATCAACAAAGTAATGGGGTTTTTTTGAGGATAAAGAAAAGTTTGGAGCAAATTTAGATTGAACCTAAAAATTAGGTTTTTTTTTTAAATTAAAAAAAAGTTTTTTGGGGTGGATTTGTTATCGTCCCTAACTTTCATGTCCTAGAATGATTTTATTTTGGAGAATTTCAACAACTTTTATTGGGTTGGAATTGTTATCGAAGTGGAAATGCGACGTCGGTCTGTTCCTATCGCTCCATTACTTTGCTGATGTGAATTTGTTATCGACGTGGAAGTATAACGTCAAGTTGGGACTGGATCACGAGGGTATATTTTTGAAAATAAATTGAAATTTGCTGATTTTTTTTACACAAAACAAAATTCGGGGCAGATTTCGGACTGAATTTAAAGTTTGAGGTTTTTTCTGAGACAAAAAAAGTTCGAGGCAAATTTGCGACTTAACCTAAAGTTGGGGTTTTTTTAGTGAATTCACCCAATGGGAATAGATCCTCGAGATCCAGTCTAGGTTTTGACTGACCAATTCATCTAGAACGTAATCAACTTAATTATGGTAACATGTTTAGCTGATTCCCAGGTGATTAGCAAGAGCAAAAGCATAGTGAATGACCTGGTGACGACTGATGAACGGTGATGGTGGTGGTGCTTGTTTGTTAATTATCGTTACCACATTCGTGCAACTTCACTATGTTGGCGTAAATATGTCTTGGTATCACTAATGAAGAAGGAAAACGCAGATCCAGAAAAGTTTTTCGTCTTTCATCTTATTGTAATTGCTTAATTGCGATCGCTTATAAAAGAAAATAATCTAAAGATAATGTCATAACTTCTTATTCGATATTTGAACTGAATAAATTCCACTTGTTTGTAAATTCAAATTTAGAATTATCTATCTATAATAAGGTAAAAGGGCTAAGTACTGAATTAACTTCTTCAAGACATCAAAATACAGCTCGTCGTCCAAAAAATCAAGGGACAATGGCATGGAGGTCTCTGAACTTTTCGTTTTGGGCAATGTCGTCTTTGTATGTTTTTTTTTTTGTGCAATTACGTCTGTAGACTTTTTCCATTTGTGCAATATTAGTCCTTTCTTGAAATGCTTGGACGGGAAATGCTGATATTGCAGTCAAATGGCCGGTGAATGCACAAATCAAAATACTTCGAGAACTCTTGGTTCCATTATCTCTCGACTAAGAAATCGTCGCATCGCTTTCTGGGGAAGACCCATATAGAATGATGGCTCAATAGCAGGTCTTTTGCGGGTCAACTGCGCTGTCAAACTATGTTCAACAGTTTTGATGGAAAGTAAGCAGAAGGTACCTTAAGGCTTATGCAATTGGAATTGCTGGGGATTGCTCTTCAAAGGATCCACATCACGTTTTTATCTCTTTGAAACTGTAGCACTATTTCGACATGAATCGCGCCAGCCTAACCATTGTTGTAAGCCAAACAAAAAAAGCGACAAACATCCAGAAGCAGATCAGTCAAAGATGATTTTCCACAGCATTCTAGCAGCTAACTTCTACTGTACGTTTAAAAGTTGCCATTTAACTTTATTACCGTTCAATATAGATGTTACTTAAGAATGTTCATTTTTGTCTCTAGAAGAAGTTATTAAATGATGAATTTAGGTGGCACTAATAATATCTACGGGTCGTATTTTCTTATATCCATGATTAAAGATGGCCTTAGATTACAAGTATGGACATAACTTACTTTTATGATTGATTTTGTATGCGGATTATATTCATATAATTTATAACTATC